CCGCCCCTCGGAGCCGCCGCCGCCCAGCTCCTCGGCGGGCGTGCACGCGGGGCCGCTGGCGTCCATGCCCATGACGGTGGGGGTGACGGGCATCCACCCCATGAACAGCATCAGCAGCCTGGACAGGACTCGCATGATGACCCCCTTCATGGGCCTCAGCCCCATCCCGGGGGGCGAGCGCTTCCCGTACCCCTCTTTCCACTGGGACCCCATCCGGGACCCCCTGAGGGACCCCTACCGGGAACTGGACGTGCACCGCCGGGACCCGCTGGGCAGGGACTTCCTGCTGCGCAGCGACCCGCTGCACCGGCTCTCCGCCCCGCGGCTCTACGAGGCCGACCGCTCCTTCCGGGATCGGGAGCCGCACGACTACAGCCACCACCACCACCACCCGCACCCCCCGCTGCCCGTGGACCCGCGGCGCGAGCACGAGCGGGGCGCGCACCTGGACGAGCGTGAGCGCCTGCACCTGCTGCGCGAGGACTACGAGCACCCGCGGCTGCACGCCGTGCACCCCGCCGCCCTGGACGGACACCTGCCGCACCCCAGCCTGCTGGCGCCGGGGCTCCCGAGCATGCACTACCCCCGGATCAGCCCCACCGCGGGCCACCAGAACGGGCTGCTCAACAAGACCCCGCCCACGGCGGCGCTGAGCGCGCCCCCGCCGCTCATCTCCACGCTGGGGGGCCGCCCGGGGTCCCCACGCAGGACTACCCCGCTGTCAGCGGAGATCCGGGAGAGGCCCCCGTCGCACACGCTCAAGGACATCGAAGCCCGGTGAGGGGGCAGGAAGGCCTGGACGTGGGGCGAGAGACAGCGAGCGAGGGAGACCGCCTCCCTCCCGGACCGCAGCCCCACTCCCGCCCTGTACAGTGTACAGACTCCTCGCAGATTTTGAAATTTTTTGTATATTATATGTTGAAATTTTTCAGATCTTTTAGCCAATTCGTATGTCCTCATGTCTCCTCCTTTTTTTTCTTCCTTATATGAAACTTTTTTATTTGAACCAAAACAGTGAAGAGGACAACACACACCAGTCGGATGATCACTGGGGATGGGGGAGCCCACACGATCCGTGACGCAGAGCTCTTTCAGAGGGAAGGGAAGGCCGTGTGTACATAGCGTGTAAAAAAGATTGCTTCATGAGCTGATGGTTCATATATGCAAAAGGGTAAGATGAAAGCTTTACTTTGTACAAATGTAAATAGATAAACATTAAGTAACATAATACATTAATACTTCTTAAAATGTGCTATTTGCAGACCTGGTATCAGTGAGCACAGTCCTCTAAGGCCGTGTTCCCCTCTATTGTTAGAGACAGCTAAACCCTTCAACTATGCAATGAATGTTAGGGCTTTTCACAAAAGCCCGCCTGACTCAAAGGAGCCTTTTCAGATCCATTTACAACATACTTAAGGTCATATTTTCCCTAAACAAGCGCTTACGTGATACGACTCTGTTTTCCTTGCTTGTTTTTTTTCAAATGGAGAAACACCCTATTTCGCAAACCGGACCCCAGGCTGGAACTTCGCATCTGAAGTTGCTGCTTGTGGGCTGGGGGGTGGGCGGGGGTGCGCCCCGGTTAGGTAACTGAGGACAGGAGCACCCAGTGCTGGGGAGGATGGGATTTGTCAGATGCCAAAATCAGGGGGCCGGTGGAGGTGTCTGTCAGAAGCAGGTTGCCAGAACCTTCTCCCCGCCGGTCATGTGATTTCGCACACACCTCCTGTGGGAACCATTCCTTTTTTAGTGTGTCCTGTTTCATATCTGTGCACACTTCCTCATTTTGTAATGCAAGTTAATGACACCCAAACAGATCCTGAAAGAAAGCTTCACGTTTTCTCAGATGATGGATATGTTGTCACTGTAATCGCTGACGAATTTAAGGTGCACATTTCCCGACGTGACTCGTTGTATTCCAGTTAGTCTTCATGAGACTTTATTTCTGGAAATAGCTGAAGCAGGTCAGCTAGTGCAGCCTTCGAGAATTGCAGAGGGTGAAAGGTGGCGGAGAAAAAGTCTTGTACGTGCGTGTGTTTTTGCGTTTGCATCAATCTTACTGTCTCTTCATAATACTTTTATAATACATTAAGCCTCTTGTCTACATATTTGGAGAGAATATGACTTTACTAGCAGAGAAATACAATATATCTTGTCTACTGGACTGTAAAATACATGTATGAAATAAAATTAGTTCCATTTGGTCTTCTAGTATATTAAAGTGCTATCTGACGTTGTTATCCTGTTTTTGCAAAAAAAAAAAAAGTTAACTACAGACCATTGTTTCTAATAAGCAGAGAGATCTATTTTAGTAGTAAACTGAAGGTTTAGTTGTGAGCTTCAGATTTTGTGAACACCAGATGTTGTGCAGTGTTTTTTTTTTTAAGACAACAACTAAAAAAAAAAAAAGAATCCAAGGAATATGTACACTGGAACTGTAGTGGTAGCTTTCAGTATTGTAAAGAGATTGTTCTATACAGACCTTTTTGCTGTTAATCCTGTATGTAATAAAGTCCTTTCTAGACCCTATGTGAAAAGAAAAGTGAAGCAACTGAATCTTCAGCATGTTCTCATCGGCGGAGCCTTCTTGTGTTATGTAAACTGTGCCATGTTATTAAAAAATGTGAACCAAGCTTGCAGCTGCTTTTCTGTGTGAGATGGCCATCATTGCTTAGGGAAGAAGCCACGCGTGTGCAAGAAACACGAACCTGGCCCATGTGAGACCTGGAGGCTCCCCCGCAGTGCCCGGCCACTCTCCCCCGCTCAGTTAGGGACTCGCCAATTCGTTCCTGTAGACATGTGCACCCCCACACCATTGGTTATGGATTCTTTTTCTTTTGTGTAATCTGAGCAAAATACTCTAAAAGCCCCGGGGAGATATTGCCAGGTCTTGCAGTAGACCAGCCTATGTATGGGCCAAGTGAGCAGGTGCCCTTTGTGTCTCGAGCCTGCTTCCAGACTCACGGCAGAAGCATTTGCTGCGTCTTGCTGCGTCCGTCCACGTTGACGAGAAACCAGTGCAGGTCCTGACAGCAGTGCTCGCCTGCTTGGTCCTTCGCTTTTCAATCTGTGGACTCCGTCCGTCTGTCTATCGGGCCTGTGTTCCAGATACTTTGTTTCTGTGTCCCATTGAATGGTGGTAGCAGATCCCTCATCCCTTTGCAGACTTCTCCCTGTTCTCTAAACTCTTGTTTTTTTCTTACGATGTAAAAGGGGAAAAAAATGTTAAATTTTCTTGTATCAACCCGATGGAATCACTGTTTGGATTGGTGTTTGTATCCTACTGGAAAAAAACCAGCAGCCATCAAGGCTAGCAGGATCTGGGAGGCTGCTGAGTGGGTGTGAGGAAGGGGGGCTCTGGATCTGTTGGGGGGTGCTGTGGACTCCCGCAGCTCTACTGCGGAGCTGGCCAAGGCCAGAGACACTTTGCCCTGCTTTGGAAACCGGTGGGACTCTCAGGCCTAAATCTCGGGTGACAATAAAGACCCACTTCACTCAGCACCGTTCTGTGTGTTAAAACCTGACTCCCATACTGGAGAAAATAACGAAGCAAAGCTGGCGGGCTGGAAAATACGATAAACACTGTGTTTTTCCGAATCCAGCACTGCCTGGGACCTTCCAGACAGTACCAGTGGCGGCTTGACAAGCTATTTCTGGCAGACCTCACTGCCTTCTATTGTACACCTATTTTGATGTCACCATCTGCGATGTCAGAACGTGGAAGAGTCACTCTCAAATCAGTCACGGTATTTAATCCCCAGGGCTTTATTCATCTCAACCCTTGCATATTTTCCCTCTAATTACATTCAACGCCTCGCATTGATGGGTACCAGCACCAATTTGATTTCCTGCTAACCTATAGATGCTCTAATTATCTCCACAATCTTTGACTGACAATGATCTTGTTACCTTCTAATGGTACATGACAAGTAAAATAGCGAATATAATGATGCAATAATTACCACTTTGGATGGATATTTGCAACAGCACTCGCTGTTTATCCTTTTTCTGCCTCAATCAAGGTGGGTGAGAGGAAATAAGATGGGATTCTTGACGTTCTGTACATACGTGGCATAAAAAGACGGTTAAGACGGGATTGTGCTCCATAGTCAGCTGTGGCATAGTAGAATGTTTAGGACTTCTTGTGAGCTAGCGTATGTACTGCACTAGAAAATAAAGTAGGCCACTGTGGCATTAAATCAGTTTAAGGAAAGAGGACAACAGAAGTGACACGGGCTTTCTCACGTGCAATTTTTAAAACTGCCAATGTTTTTGTGTGGGTGTGCCTTTCTGAAAATGGTGGAAAATTCCCTGTAGATAGGATTCGTGATCAGACAAGTATAATGAAAGGCTGTCAGTTTCCCTCCCACAGATGCAAAGCCAAGGCTCTGGTGTCTTGGGGCTTCAAGACCAGAAGCTTCAGATAAGGAGGTCTGAGTGGGAAGGAGCGTTGGATGGAATCCTGGTCACAGGGTCTGGATCCGCTTCTGCGCCCTCTGACGCTGAGCAAACTCCGAGCTGGAACTCAGGTTCTTAGGTGTGGAATGAAGCTGTGTCCACAGCATGGGGCCCAGGATGGAAGGGTGGAAGCCCCGGGTGTGACAGCACAGGGCGCTCACATCACGCACTGTCCCCAAGCTTTGGAGAGCCGTGGGCTGGGTAGAGAATGGCCCACACAGGCTGAGCGCCCCAGATCAAACACCGGGCAGTGGAGAAGCAGGAACTCGGGCTCTTGGATGGCATAGTACTGCCAGTCTCCTTTTCATCCCAGTTCTCCTGCAGTTCTGAAAACCCCTACAATCAAAATGCTCAAATACGGTGATCGGCCCACTTCTGACCATCCACGATCGCCTACCCTCTTTCTGAAGAGTTTTCTTCTTTCCCTCCCTGCATGGCTATCAAAAATGAAAGGATTTGGTTTTTAAAATAGTATTTTTTTGAATTATATGGGCCATAAGTTACAATGATAAGCAGTATTTCTATCTGTATTTTGACTTTTTTGAGACAGGATCTCACGGTGTAGTTCAGGCTGGCCTTAAACTCACTGCGTAGCCCTGGCTGGCAGTGAACTCGTGGTGATCCTCCTGCCTCACTATCCTGAATGCTGGGATTGCAGGTATGAACCACGACACCCAGCTCATTTAACAATTCCTTAAAAAAAGACTGGCCCACACAAAAGGGAAAATAATATATTTTTTTAAAACAAATGCGGTCCCAATTACCACGTTGACTAGATTCTTGCTAAAGGCTTGGGGAAAGGTTGGCAAGGCTGAAGGAGTGGGCTGATGGTTCCAGGGTCTCTGACTCAGGTGTTCCTCTCCCAGTGGGGTAAGGAGGGCATAGGTCAGACCCCCAGGTACTGACACAGCTGGGGTGTCCACCTGCTGTGTACCCAAAATGTTTGCAGATTTCCCGAAGCACTGCACACAGATGCTAAGCCCGTGGGTGGTGTGTGGCAGTCAAGGGGTTCCCTGGAAGAACACGGAGCCGGAAGTCTTCACAGCCGAGGTTTGTGTCCTAGGCAGGTATGGGCAGATAGGCCTCAGCTTCCTCATCTGTCGCTTGCATTTCTTAACTAATGGTTAAAGCCTCCTCGAGCTCTCTTCGGACTTTCTATCTCTGCTCGGCCTCAGATTACCTTTATAAACAGTTTTCTTCTCCCACACTGAACTCCGGCAAGGCAAGTTGAGTCACCACCCTTGTGCTCCCTAAAGCCGCTGGGTTCCAAACCCAAGCCACCCTGCAGAGTCCAAGTCCTGTCCATAAAGTCCTCCTCTGTGGGGCCCTCCAGGGGTGACTTGCTCTCCACCTGCGCCCTCCACTCAACCCGGCAGACCTGGAGTTCGCAGGGCCCTGTCTGCCTGGCTAGGGGTCAGGCTTAGGCCAGGAGCCTCAACAGCTCTGCTAGAGCTAGATTCCCTGGGGAGAGAGGCAGCCCCCGCCCGCTGGGGCCTGGGAGACTTAGAGGCTTTCCAGAGCCTAGACCTCTGGGCGGTGACCCACGTGCAAACCTGAGGTAAAGCTGATGAAACAATACCCTCACATGCAGTGAACAAAGATTTTTTAATTCCATTCTCTTCTAATTCATTTTTTTAAAATGCTAACTGCAAACCAACGCTTCCTCTCCTGACCTCTGAGAATAAAGGGTCTCAACCCCTGGTCGGACTCTGCTTCACGGAGGGAGACCCTCCAGGAGTTACAGAGGGTAGGCAGGCTGAGGACCAGCGCCGCCTCGCTCTCCACGCACTGTGTGGTCCTCAGCAGCCTTGTGTATAACCACCGTCTGCTGTCCTGCCTGTGCTTCCATCCGTGCTGCCTGCCTCTCTGCCTGTCTCAAACCGTCTTCTACGTCAGGGGCAACCAAGCAGAGCCCAGACTTTGTACCTGGCCTGGCGGCCCAGCACCTCTGGGCCCAGAGACCTAGCAGCTTGCTCTCCCACGCGCTGGCCCAGTACCTGCTCCCCTCCACGCACGGCCTCTGCACTGGGCGAGTTCGCACTTGTGCCTCAGATTCTCCTCCACGAACCCTCCCTGACCTCCTCCTGTCCTCGCTCAAGGACCAGTGTTTCTCAAAGTGTCGAAGCTCACTTGTTTGGACCAGTGTTTCTCAAAGTGTGGTCCTTGGACCAGCAATAGCAGGAACATCACCAGGAAGCTTGTTACAAGTACAAATTCTCTTAGAGACTTAGAAAGACCCTGTTTCAAAATAAATAGAATAGGCCTGGGGATATAGCTCAGTAGGAAGGCTGGAGGTTCAATCTCTAGTACTGCAAGGAAGAAAAAAAGTACGAATTCTCAGCATCCTCTTCAGCGTGCTAAATTCTATACTGGGTTAACCAGGCCTTCAGGTGATTCTGGTGTGCAAAGGTTCAGAAACACTGGCTCAGACCATCATGTAGAAAGGTCAAGGCCAAAGGCTGCAAAAAAAAACCATCAGGTGTCAGAAAGGGATCCTGGAAAAGAATGTGTTCTCCTTAACTTTCCAGCCCGACCCTTGATCCTGCTGGCCCATGAAGCCCTGGCGGCCTTGCGGGAGCCGGGAGGACATTCCCTCTTCCCGGTCTACCACGACTCCTTCCCAGTGTCCAGTGGCGTATTCCTGTATCACCAGCCAGCAGCAAGAGACTGCAGAGAGGTTTCCTCTCCGAACCAACAACTACATCCGCCAAGGCTAACCGAGGGCGCTTCGCGTGCTGAGCACAGATCTGAGTGGACCTGAATTATGGCCTTAATGTTCTCAGTGACCTAACAGAGCAGGGACAGGTGTAACCCCAGTTGGACAAGTGAGAAAAATGAGGTGCAGAGAGGTGAAGTCATTTTCCCATGTCAAGTGCATAACCTAAATCCAAACGGGACAGTTCCCCCTTGAGAGCCTGTGCCATGCCTGTGACCGGGGTTACCGCAGAGAGCAGGCTTGCTGGGTTAATTAACCCCATGGACACCAACTGCAGGGAGCGTCTTAGCTGCTTTACCATGAGCTTGTAACAGGCTTCATGCATATTCATTCCAGAGACAGCTGGAAATGAATGAACAAAACATAGAGGTCATGCATTGCCCAATGATGAGGTTATGCTCTGAACCAAGGATTGTGATGTACTCAAGTCTATGTATATGGGGTTTATTTGTTTCTAAA